GGAGAGGTTTTCCGGCCGTGGGGGGTGAAGCCCATCGGGGTCCATGTGGTCGTGAGGGGCCAGCTTCACCTCCGCCTGGCAAACATTGGTGAGAGGCACTTCGAACTTGCTTCAAGCTCTTCACCTCAGCAGGTGCAGTCAGAAACTCAGCAGGGCTAGAGATGGGGGGTCTTTGGATGGAGACCCCCACCAGGGCTGCAGGCTAGACTGGGAAATTGAAACACATTCCAGAATAAGACAGCAATAAACCCCTACCCTGCTGTGATCCTGCCTATGTCACCAGGAGTCGAGTTCAGTCAAGGGCGTCTTCACTTCTACAGCTCTAGAACTCTTCGCTCCTGGAAGACGGTCCTTCTTCACTCAGGCAGTGGTTGAAAGCATCTCTCCCTTGACCCAGCCCAACTGCAAATACTCTTTTCTTATTAAAAATACACATCCAGCACAACAAGGAGGTGGGTGATCTTCCTTCCTGATTGCCTGCAAAATTGGCCCAGTTTCCGATCGTCCTCAGATGCTCCTCCACGCTGGTCTTCTCGCAAACAGCTAGGGGGAGAAGGTTCTCGGTAGGAGATTCTCAACCCACACCTTGAGAGAGTACTTGAGGAAAGCGTGCTTTGAAACGTGCCGTGCAGATGGGCATTTTCAGTGCGGGTTCGGAAATGGTTTGCAGATTGAAGTTGGAACAGGTGGTGTGAGCCCATGAAAGGACAGGAATACTCTTTCTCCCGTTTTTGGCTCCAGCTAGGTTTCAGGCAGATGTTTCTCAGGTTCTTCTGGGAACTGGGCAGTGTTTGGAAAGGAGGACCAGTGCGTTCCCTTCTCCCATTGGGCAATTTAATTACCACTCTTTTCTCAGGCCCCAGCTTCATCCAAAACTGGCCAAGGGTGCTTGCAGGGAAGGTCCCCTTGAATCTGGGTGTAAAGTCCACCTCTGATCACCCAACCAGCCTTCGGTATGCCTGCCTCGCTGTCTGCAGAACCACCTTTGAGCCCTTGAGAAAGAGTTTCCAGCTCCTTGGAGAGGGGCTGGGGGAAAAGCCTCCACCCCCCTGCATTGTCAAAGTCTGTTATCCCCCCCGCACCTTGACAACAATAACAACATTGGCTTGGTGCAGCACGGTGAAAGCGCACAGGTCATTAATTCTGCTTAGTCTTGTTTACAAACAGGCACTCCAATGCAGCTTTGAAGGAGACAATACAGGAAGATGCAACACTCAATTAGGTTTGAACAAAAGAGCCCCCCAAGGGGGGGGAGGCAGGAAAGGGGGAAGCTGTACCTGGGAATCAAGACCCCTAAGAGGCTTAGCTTTGTAGCAGGTGCTGGAATTCATCCTTCTGCAAAAGGCAGGGTGATTCCAATTTTTTTTTTCTTAAATCTTATCTTCAGAAGAAAGATTAGGTTCCACTCTATCATTTCATAAATTGACATTTCATACTTTGCCTGCAAGAGGGACGATAAGCTCTTTTGGGAGAGGCGGGGGGTGGGGGTGGGATGAAACCTAGATGATCAGTCCTGAGATGGAGGACTGGAATATCGGGCGGGCAGTGCCGCGGCTGCACGGCCAAAATCACAGAACAGGACTTTGGTGGGTCCTCCTCTCCCCTTTGATTTCTCAGTGGGGTTCTCAGGGAGCAGCCCTTCAACCCACCCCCAACCCAACCAGTCTTACCAAGATGTCCGAAAGGTTTTGCATGGCTCTGGCGTGGAGTTGCACCCTTTCGCCAGCTCAGAAGAACGAGATTCGTCTCGGTGAGACCAACTTGGCAAGGCCTGATCCCTTTCTGCCCTTTGGTGAGGAGGGTTGCAAAGAGCCGTGATAATTGTTCATCTCTTCCTCCTCCCCTCCCCTCCCCTCCCTCCAGGTGTCATAACTTAGTTTATGTCCTTTGCGTCTCCTTTGCTGTGCTCTGCGATGCTAAGAAGTTGCTTTTCTGCCGCTAACGAATCGGCTGTAATTGGCTCTCTTTCTCACCATAGAAACCTGGAGGACTTCCGTTGCTAACGAACCTTTTTTGAGCCTTCGCATCCTGCAAAAGGGGTGGTGGGCAGTTCAGGTTTTTGTTTTGGCTTCTCTTCCTGGCTTTCCGAAGGCCCAAAGTTCGTGCTGTTTGATTTCATTTTCCTGTTAATTGGATAGAGTGTAACCTCCTTGTCTGGTTACATCTTTGCTGGTTCATCTTTCCTTCTTGCTTTGAGATCAGGCATCCTGTATGGCTTTTTTCCCCCCTTTTAATCTTGATTGCAATATCTGTAATAATATAGCATCTCTCCTTCAGCTTCCCACATTCCCTGTATCACTCAATTTTTAAAGGATATTAAAACATGAAAGAGGAAGTTGGCAACGCAAATCAAAACGCTAGTCTCTGATTTGCAGGAACGTGTTTGGGCTCTGCAAACTTCCCCCTGGGAGAATAAACAGCCCCCTGGGGGAGACCCCTTCATGGATCACTGCCTTGTCGTGGCGAAGGGGCTTGCGTAACTCAGTGAAGCCATGAGCTA